CATTTCACAGAAATTAAAACAATCCAAGGGAAATTTTAATTTTTCCCTGCTGACCAGGGGAGGAGGGAAAGATCACAAACACCCAGTTCAAGACAACAGGAATGTTTGGTTTTATTACCAAGTTTTACTTTCTTCCTCTTCTCATCGAGCTTCTGTGTCCTCTCTGCAGCCTGTTTCTTCGCCCTCCTCACCTTGTCATATGCTGCCTGCCAACGAACCAGCACAACAGGGTGAAACCACAGGAACAGGGAGAGAAACTGGAAAGCAGGGAACGAAATGAGATCACACATCACTCCTAGAAGTGTTGGAAGTTAACACAAATATCCTGAAAACATGAGAAGAGGTCCAAAGATCTCCAGATGGAAGGGTGAGGAAGTCCAGGAATAACTCCACCGTGTACTGGAGAGAACTCTGATCCATCTTCAGAGGTGGGAAGAACATTCTGGTTCCCTGAACATCCCAAAAGCGGTTTCAGGGGCACTGGTAACGGCCCAGGTTGGCTCTGGAGCAATGTTTTACAACTAAAAAAGGTCTATTTGACGTGAAATATTTATTCACAGACATGTTTGAGTCCTATGAATGTTTCAGATCAAAGAGCATCCAAAATCCTCAGCAGCAAAAGCACACCAACATTAATTCAGCACCAGAGAGATCTAAGAACTGGGATGAACTGGCAGTTTCACTGGCACCTGTTTAAACCAGTTTCTAATGTGCTCCTCAACCTGCACAGAGCCTTTGTGTAGGAGGTGAGCACAGACTGCCTCACATATTACCTGTAGAATAGTTGTCCAACTGTTTTAATCAACTAGAAAAGCTGGGATTTTCCCTTTTTTTTTATTTCATTCCTGTATGGCAAAGGTTTGCTAAACACTTTTTCCTTTTAAATATATAAAGAAGACAAAAAGTTCTTGGATGCCCAAGGTTGAATTCCCCCTTGGAGGGGGGATTACAAGCTTTGCCAGGGCTTGAAAAGAGAAGTTATTTCACAAGTTTAGCTCTTATCACCTGAAATCAGCCCATGTTTCTCTCCTGAGCTTATCTGCAGAGAGTTACTGGCTCATTTTTGGTTTGTTTTTTATGAAAAGCTTGGAGCCTCAGCAATCACATCCAGGTATTACTCATTTGTCAGCCCCTGACTTCAAGGGAACAGCAAAAGCCCTGTTGCCATGGGAATGTGGTGTCCTTGAATCAGGGGTGGTTATCCTTTATGTTATTAAACGGGATATGCCCCAGTCCAACACGTTATTAAAGACAGTATCTCACCCTTGGACAGAGCATCTGATCAGAGACAGAACGCTCCTCCCAGCTTTTGTTTGGCATCCAATATTTGATCTCACGGAGAACTACAGGGAATGACAACTGAGACTTGTATGCACAGACTCTCCACTGGAGAACAGAGCAGGAGAGACAGGAGGAGTTGCCAGTAACCCCCAAAATCCCACCTTTCCCAAGGGAGCATCCTTACCCTGGCTGCTGCATCTGTGAGCACGGCCAAGGCCTGGGACAGCTGGTGGAAGATTTCCGCTGGGAATGAGAAGAAATGAGGGTAAGATGCAGGAAACCATGGGAGGGATCTGGGAAAGAACAGCAAAGACAATTCCTTATGGGAGAGACCTGCAGGAAGGTCTCTCCAAGAAAGAAGAATTCATCCCTCCAAAGCCAACCTCTACCAGGGCCACCTCAACTCACCTCTGTTACATCAACCTGAGAGTAAATTAAAAACCAAAAACTGGGATTGTTTCACTGTAAGAAAAATCTTGAACACGTAACCATATTTTTTCTTAGTGACTCTTTTTGTCATGGGTTGCCATGTCTCTTTCATGGCACATTTAGCTGGAGCTCACAGTTTGCTTCTTCCTCTCAGTGCTTTTCCTTTCACTTCCTCCTGTTTGTGTACAAATAAATCATCAAGAGTCCCCACTTATGCTGTATTGGAAATTGCTACATTACAGCCATCTAGCCTTTAAAAGTCCCCCTATAAGCACTGGGAAATTACATTTATTGTTCTGAAGATGAATTACCCGTAGTCTTGACGCACAAAAAAAAAAAGAAAAGAATTGCTAATTATGCAATTTACATCTGCAACAACCACTCCCTCTCTCCCTCTCTGCAGGCAGCTGAAATTCTCCCTTCCACAACTAAAACGGGCCGTGCCCACAGATAATGCACTGTTGAAGTTTGGACTGGGAGAGATACAGATGAAACCAGTTTGCAGCCAAAGGTCTGGGTTCAGGTAGGGGAAGGTTTTGAGAGGTGCAATTCTAATTCCAGCCCTGACTCAACGCTGATGTTCCCAAACCAAACAGCGATCGCTCAGCCCTAAAGACCAGAGTTAACATCCACGACAGCAAGCCTGAGCCCTGTGTGTGCGTGCTCCAGGTGACAGGCAGCCAGGTATTCCCTTGAGGACAGTGCTGAAGGGAAGTAGAGCCACTGCCAGGAGCCTGGAGAGGTGAAAACTTCCAGGAACTGCTGCTGGTGTCTCACCTGCCCGGGGGTTGTCCGGATTCTTGTCCGGGTGGCACGTCAGGGCCTTCTGCCGGAACGCTGTCTTCACCTGCAGGGGCCACACTGCCAGTTACTGGGTGGGACTGGTTTGGATTTGTCAAAAAAAGCAGCTTGGAAAACACAAAACCTATCCCTGCATTGAGAGGGAATTGGGCCCAGGACACTCGCTGGGCAGGAAGGTGTGTTTGGGGTGAGTCTGAGCCGAGGAGAAAAAAGGGGGAAAAGGAAGAAAAGGGGGAGAGGGAAACAAAAAGGAGAAAGGGGAAAAAAGAGGAAAGTGGAAAAAAGGGGGAAAGGAAAAAAAAACAAAACAAAACAAAAAGGGAAGCTGCTCTGTCCCAGCGCCAAGCAATTTCCTGCTAAAACGAGCGGAGAAAGTTGTGTCTCGGCCCCACCTGGTGGACAAAGCTCCAGTGATGGGAACGTACGAGGAAAGTGCTGCAGGTGACCCAACCTCCTGCATTAGATTCCAGCTGAGGGAGAGACAACTCACTCCCAACACCCATCACCTGCCCAGCTCCCCCCGGGCTGCTCCGATCAGCGGGTGGGAAGTGCTTTTCTCACCCCTTTTCTCATGCTACAAAAAGTCTTGGGATCGTTTCAAGTACTTTAGATCAAGGACTGACGCCCCAAATTCCATTTGCCAATTTGTAAGCTGCGCCAGGCCATCCAGCTGGGAATTCTCTCATCCTTCCCTGAAGTGACCGGCTCAGCTGGGCATTAACCTGATGTCACCTGAAGCCTTTTCAGCCTATCCAATCCCGCCTGTTACAACTGGATTGTTCCCGTCAGGTGCTTCATTCACGGGGAATTTCCAGGGAGCGGGTTGTAAACCCCTAAAAACGAACCAGAAGCCTTACGGGCACCTACATCACCCGGACCGCCCTCCAGCAGCTGGATTTTTGGATAAACATGGGAACTTTCCTTCTGGAGGCACATAAATAACAAAGCGAGGGGAACAGCGTCCCAGCCCAACTCCGCAGCTCTCCTTGAGCCGTTCCCTCCTCCAAAGTCGGGACTGAGAAGGCACAAGGGCAAGCAAATTGAGGGCAATAACGCCAATATCGGTAAAACTGGGATAAAATAACGCCAACACCGGCAAATACGCCCTTCCCGCACGATTTTAGAGCCCTGGCCCCGCAGCAGCGCTCAAGGCAGGAGTAGCACACCAACAGCGCTCGGAGAAGCCGCTCAGCTCCGCACCAGCCCCGGGAACATCCCGTTCCCGAGGACACCGGGACAGGGAGGGAAAGGGCCCGTCCCGCGCTCACGACCTCTTTCTCCGACGCCTTCTCGCCGACCCCGAGCAGCCCGTAGAGATCCAGCTCCAGCAGGTCCTTATCGACCGCCATCTCCGCGCTCGCCGGTCCCGCTGCCGGTGCCGCTCGTTCCCTTTCCCGGTGCCGTTCCCGGTGCCGCGGCCGGGCCGCGCCGTTCGCTGGGAAACGTAGTCCCCAAGCACGGCTTCGTCACGTGCAGCTCCCGCAAGAGGACTACAATTCCCGTGATGCATCGCCCCCCGGAAGGGCGGTCCTGGCGGATGCTGCTCTTCGCGGGGCACGCCGGGTGTTGTAGTTCTGCAGCTGCGGGAGGAAAACTACAACTCCCGTCGGGCTGTGCGCGAGAGCTGGGGTGTCCTTGGAGCGAGTCATTTTGGGAAAAGCCTGTCCGGGAATTGGAGTCTGAACGCGCCCCTCAGCACTGCCAAGCCCATTGCTGGCCAAGTGCACAGACGCATCCACGCGTTAAATCCCTCCAGGGGTGGGATCCATCACTCCTCCGGGCAGCTGTGCCAGTGCGGGGTGCTGCGAACCCAACTACAGCCCGTTCCCAAAGGCATCCTTGCTTTTGTTCCCAAAAAGCATCCATCTCAGCCCAAACAACGACTCCTTGGGAAATCCCTCTTGTCTTCTTATTGACCTAAGATACCTTACCTTTTTCCCCCCAGCTCTGCATAGGAAGCACTAGTCTATCCAGTTATTCCATTACACAGGAGATGGAATTTTTCAGTCTTTACTCGATTATTGTAGCAGGATTTATGTCCTGCTGGCTGAAGGAATAAGAGTCTTCAGACCATTTATTTTAATCAGTGATAGTAACAGATCTGAGATCATGAAGAAAATTGGGTAAATGTGAACCCAGCAAAGTGAAAGTCTGAGAGATGTTTTCTAACCCAGCAGTGCAACAAAACATAAAGATTCCTGGTCTGTCTCCATGGAGCTTCACCCAAGGACAGCAGGAGGCTTGGAGGTCATAGAATCATAGAATGGTTTGTGTTCAAAGGACCCTTAAAGCCTGTTCAGTCCCCTGGGCAGGGACACCTCCCACTATCCCAGGTTGCTCCAGCCCTGTCCAACCTGGCCTTGAACACTTCCAGGGATGGGGCAGCCACAGCTTCTCTGGGAAATCCATGCAGTGCTTCAGTAACCTCACAGGAAAGAATTTCTTCCCAGTATCCCATCTAACCCCACCCTCTGGCAGTGGAAGCCATTCCCCCTTGTCCTGTCGCTGCAGTTCCTGATGAGTCGCAGCCCTGTGGCCATTGTGGTGCCACCTCGGGGACCTCCCTCTGGGGCTCCATTCTGGAGTCCCCTCCTGCGACACCATCTCACCCTGGAAGGCACAAAGTTTACCTGCTGACACATGTCCCACACCCAACCCACAGCACCTTGGCCCTTCGGGGCTGTCCCTTTGTGACACGGGCGTGTGACAGGCTGACCTCGCCCGTGACACCACAGTGGCCACTGGACGTGGGCCACATGACAAAGGGCCATGTCCCAGCATTCCATGAAATCAGGATGGGGGCACAGATCTGCAGTCAATCCCGTGGTGAGACTGGTGGGTTGCAGGCCCCGTGTGACAACACCGCTGTCGAGGTGCGGGACAGCTCCGAAGGGACAAGGTGCTGTGGGGTTTCTCGGGGGTCAGGTGTCTGCAGAGAACCTTCATGTCTCTTGCAGGGCCAGATGTCATCGAAGGAGGACTCCCCAGAACCAGGCACCTCTGCTGCCAGCACCAGCCAGGCACCACAGGATGGCAGCAAGGGGAATCCCGCCTGCCCGGCATGCCGGGACATCGACACCGAGTGCTCCAGCTCGTGCCGGCACTGCTTCTGCCTCCTCTGCCTGTGGGATTGGAGCCTCAGCGACGCCGCGTGCCCACAGTGCCAGCGGCCCACCCGCCACACGTACCCCCAGCACGTGGCCCTGTACCACGAGGTGCAGGACCAGGTGTACGACAGCAAGCAGAGGCGGCTCGGCCTCTCGGAGCAGAGGGCGCGGAGCTGCTCGGGACACAGCGGCTGGGATGGGCCCCCGGAGCGGGGCCGAAGGAGGTCCTTGACGTGGCACCGTGGTGGCCGCCAGTGGTCTCGGCACGGCCAGGGCAGCGGCTCCTCGAGAAGGAGGAGGCGTCAGCGGAGAAGGAACTGGGACAACGCGCCCAACGAGGGACGAGCTCCAAGGTCCGAATGGGACAGCCCAGGCTCCTCGTGGGGCAGGCGATCCTGGCACAGGTCCCACACGCCACGGAGCCGAGGCCAGCAGGAACAGCCACGGGGCCACCGCAGCAGGCAGAGGTGGCGGAGCGGGAACAGGGAGCATTCCCACGGCTGGGACAGGGAATGGAGTAGGTCCCGCAGGCGAGGCCGGGACACCCGGACACCATCCCAGGGAACAGAGTCCCTCGACGACTCCGCGAGGCAGAGGCACTGGAGGAGCAGGAATGCTGATGAGGGACGAGCTCCAAGGCACCAACAGGACATCCCAGACTCCTCAGGGAGGAGCCGCTACCGGGGCAGAACCTGGAGCCCTGCAGGGCACAGGACCCAATAGCCCACCCTCCCACAGGACAGCCCCAAGTGTCCAGCCAGCCTTCTGTGATCTCCCAGCAGGGAGCCACCAGATCCTCTCTGAACATCCTGTTCTGGGGCTTGACTCCCTCCGAATAAACCAATGTCACTTTAGCCAGCGCTTCCTTTATTTCCCTTTGTGCTTTTTGCTGTCTCAGGAGCCTCCACAGGTATTTTGGAGCACCCCAGGCCATGGGGGTACCTGGGGTTGTCCTTGTGAGCTCCATCCTTTCCCTCTTTGTGCTCCCTCCAGCCCCATCATGCCCCTCTGTGGATCAAGGAAGGAGCAGAGGGACTCCCCATAGCCCCATGGGCTCTTCCCCTCTCTGTGCCCCAGGATTCCGTGGCTGAATTTAATTTACTTGGATTTTTTTTTTTCTTTTTTTTTCTTTCCCTCCAGTTTTACCCAGGGAAGCTTTGCTGGGAAAAGCTGGAACGCCTTAGCATTTTTTCAGCAGAGCCACAACATGGTACAGGAACATTTTTCACACAAAAAGGTGTGGCTGATACCATTCAGTGCTGGAAGTGCCCGAACCCAGCCCTGGGGCCAAAACTTGCCCTTCATTTCCATCTCACCCAGTCCCTGTCCCTAAATGCCAGCCTTTGGAATGACCCCAATAACCTGCACTGTCCCATTTATCCCTAACTTGGGATATCAGTGCAGTTGATAATCTCCCTAAATGCATATTCAGCTTGTGGGAGAGGGATTTTTCCAATGAATACATTCTCTGCTGGATGGAAGGAGGCTGATCACACCACAAGAAATAATTGGGGAAAAAAAGCCATAAAATTCAACAAATGGTGAAAAGCAGGAGCTGGGGCTCACAGGGCTCAGTGCTGAGCTCTGGAGCTTGTGTTCCAAGGTGGGCAAGGATCCTGGATGTCCCCCTCATGCTCTGGTAGAGCCACTCCTTTCCTTGAGCGAATTTATTCTTCTTCCACATCATAAACCTGCTTCAAATAGACCTGGAGTTCACCCATTTTCCCAGATTATCCTCAAGTATGGGCTCTTGCTACCCGAGACTCCTGGGAAATACACACAGTGTCTGGTGGGAGAAGGGAGGAGCGCTGAGCACAGGAGGGGGCCATGCACAGGAGCAGAACTATCCTGGTAATTTTTCCCTGGATTTACTTTTTTCTATTAAATCCCAAAGTTCCCCTTGGGTATAAGCTGAACAGAGCTGTCCTGTTCAGTTTTCCCTGGATTTACTTTTTTCACCCAATACAAAACTTCCCATATGGGTATAAGCTGCTGTCCATTTATCTCCTGGAAAACCCACTCCCTGGCCAAGACAGCCCCTCTGAGCATCTTGCCAGGGATCTGGAAGTGCTGGATGTGTCCACCTAAACACACTCACACAAACATTTCACTGGGAAAACCCTGGAAAGATAAAAGTGAGCATTCATTGAGGATAGATGATGGTGGCAGAGCCATATTGCTGCTGTTTTGGGGTAACAGTGAGTAAGAAAACTCAATTTCTCCTGAAATTAAAAAAAAAAAACCCACAAAATAAAGGTTCTTCGAAAAGTGCAAACAGTCTGGAAGTCTCAGGGAAGAGCCTGTGGCCAGCGCTGCTCTCCGAGGTCACTGTCCAGGAGCTGCCCAGCCTGGATTCAGGAGGCCTTTACAAACACCAGCACCTCAGCCAGGCTGGCAGAGTAATTCCTGAGGATGGTGCCTCCATCAAACACACGGGCAGAGTTGGTGTCCAGCCACAGGTGCCCTTCTCCAGGCAGGAAGACATCCCTCCATGTTTGTCCTTTTTCTGTTATTGGAGCAACCAGGACCTGCAGTGAAAAAAAAAAAAAAAAAGAAGTAAAAAAGAACTTTAGCAGGCAGTGGATTAGGGATGTGTGTGTGGGGATGAGATGGCCACCAGCGAATCATGGAATGGTTTGGCTTGTAAGAGACCTTAATACCCCTCTCATTCCACCCCTTGCCGTGGACAGGGACACCTTCCACTATCCCAGGTTACTCCAAGTCCTGTCCAACCTGGCCTGAAATTATTTTCCCTTGTTTTTCAATCCAGCACTCTGAGAGTATTTATTCCTTCTAAATCATTTCACTTCCAAAGCTGAAGGAGGTTTCCAGGGCCTTGAATAAGAGTTTTGTGAGGAAAGCCAAGCTTTTCCAAAAAGGAAAAACCCCAAACCCACATAAACCAGCTGCTTTGGCTTGGATTTAAATCTGCTGGAATACAAAGCTCTGGTTTGTGGTTCGGCAGAGCTGGGCTCACAGGATGGTGCAGAATTCCCACCTCATCTCCAATGAGAAATTCATCTTCTATGGTGAACGCGGTTGGATCCGTGGGGCTGAGCCACCAGGCTGGACGGAAGATGGGGTGTCCCAAACTCTGCCACTCCTCGCTGTATTTCAGGAGCAGTGGCACCACAAAGTCCTGGTGCCTCTGGATGCATTGGCGGGTCAGATTCAGGACCTGCAGGGTCAGAGGGAAATCTGTGAGAAGCCTGACACCCAGGAAACAGCAAAGCAGGCAGGGAAAAATGAAAATAAATAAATAAATAATAATTTTTTAAAAAATTAAATACATATATGCCTTTGGGAAGAGAGGTGACTGAATTCCAATGTCCTGATCAAGTTACAGCAGCCAACAAGGTGCAAACAGGGTTGATATTGGATATTAATTGATTTGGATATAAGTCCATTGATAATAGGTTTAACTCAATTGATAATGGATTTGAATCCATTGGATTTAAATGCTTTAAATCCACTGATAGTGGATGTGAATCCATTTGAATTAAATACATTATCAGTATAAACCCATTGTATTTGAATGTATTTAAATCTATTTATAATAGATTTTAATTGATTGGATTTTAATGGATTTAAATCTATTTATGTTGGATATTAATTGATTGGATTTTAATAGATTTAAATCTATTTATGTTGGATATTAATTGTTTGGATTTTAATGGATTTAAATCTATTGATAATGAATATAAATCCTTGGGATTTGAGTGGATTTAAATCCATTATAATGGATATTAATTAATTGGATTTAAATGGATTTAAATCCTTGGACAGTGGATATAAATCCAGTAGATTTACATGGATTTAAATACATTGACAATGGATATAAATCCATTGGATTTACATGGATTTCCATCCCTTGATAATTGATATAAAGCCTTTGGATTTAAATGGCTTTGAATCTATTGATAATTGGTACAAACCCATTGGTTTTAAATCTACTTATAATGGATATGAATCTGTTGCATTTACATTAATAAAATCCATTGATAATGGATATTAATCCATTTGATTTAAATGGATTTAAATCCATTGGCAATTGGATATAAATCTGTTCATTTAAATGGATTTAAGTGGATTTAAATCCATCGATAATGGATATGAATGCATCTGATTTATATGCATTGAAATCCACTGATAGTGGACATAAATCCTTTTGATTTAAATCCATTGGATTTTCCGTGTGAGAGAGCCAGTGTCCTCCCGGTCAGGGTGAGGGATACACACCCAGGAGTCACAGCAGAGCCAGGGTGGGGACCCAAAGGCCATCACGGGCAGGAAGGTCACGATCTGCAGCCACCGCACGAACAGTTCCGGGTCCCCCGTGGAGTCACCAGCCAGGCTCCCTCCTGTGGGAACACAGGGCTGAGTGGGGCTGCTCAGGGGCCTCCCACAGGAAAAGAAGGCTCTTGGGAACCCTTGGAGCCCCTTCCAGTGCCTAAAGCCCCCTGGGGAGCCGGAGCATCCCTGGGAGCCATCGCTCCAAAAACCTGCCACAGCTTCCCTAGAACTGGCATGAGCCAAGGGCTCTCCCAGCCATCCACAAATGCCCATTTCTTCCAGAGGCTTTTCCCAGTTTTTGCAGCTCTCAGGATGTTGGGACACAACCCAACAAGCCACATGCCCCAGCAGCAAATCCCCCAACCCTCTCTGTGCAGGGGGACCTGTGCTCCTGTCCTGCTTCCCTGGAATAAGCCGATGGGTTCAGCTTCCATTGGGGTGAAAACTGCCGTGCTGGGATTGCCTGAGCCACATTTCCTAAGGAAAACAGGCTAAAAATAGAGGCCAAATTGAAAAATTGCTTCCAACCCCATCATTTAGCTCCATTCTCCAGGTCTGAAACCCTGTCTGCTCCAAGAAAAGGGGCAGCAATCCGCTTGGCCCTGATTAGAGGTTGTTTCTTGCCTTTTATAATGTGTTTATTTAAGGATTTCTCCAGCCATTGTACTTTGGGGGCAGAAAGGCAAACTTGGAGCAGAGCTGCTTGAGTTTTAGGAACATCCATTCCCCAGCCAGGAGCCTGGGGATGTGGATTCTGGCTAAGGGCTCCCTCCTGGCTGTACCGGCTGGGATTTAGCCCAAGCCAAGCCCTGTGGGGGTGGGTTGTGGTGGAGCTCTCCAAAGGGCATCCCCAGAGACCCGGCTGCTGATGGGGCTGCCTGGTAATATTTACAGCATGTTCTTTTGTTTTTAATTCCTCAGTTGATTCCCTGGTAACATTCATCCCAGTCAAGCCAGCGGAACAGAAAACTGGGGAGCAGAGTGCTCCAAGCCTTCCCACAGCACACCTCAGGTGCAAAAGTACCTCCCGCCTGGAAGAAACGTCACAAAAATCACTGTGGAAAAGACAGAAACAGGGAAAACAAACAAACAAATCCTTACCTACTGTGTCAGGGATGAAGAAGTTGTAGCCCAAGAGGCTGTAGTGCAGCACGGAGGGGATCAGCCCCTTCAGCCCCGCGTGGCTCCAGTCGGAGCGCAGGGGACTCATCTGGATGAACAGAGGGAGGTGACTGGAGCTGGGGAGGCAAAACAAACCCTTAGAGGTGCTTAGAGGGCTCACAGCAGCCAAAATTCCATAATGCCTGGCTGGCTTGGCAGTCACTGCGGTCAGATATAGGATCCTGGAATGGTTTGGCTTGGAAGAGACATTAAAGCCCATCCAGTCTCACCACCCTGCCATGGGCAGGGATACCTTTTACTATCCCAGGTTGCTCCGGGCCTCGTCCAACCTGGCCTTGGACGCTTCCAGGGATGGGGCAGCCACAGCTTCTCTGGGCAACCTGTGCCAGGGCCTGCCCACCCTTAGTTTCCCCCAGATCATTGACTTGACCATGCTGCCTTAGACCACCTCCATGCCACCTCCCTGGGTGCTGAGCACTCCTGGCATCCCAAGGACATCCCCTCAACCATCCCCCAGGAACTCACAGACGCCTTGGCTCCAGCAGAGCGTGTCCCTGGTACCCACCTGGCCCCAGCGCTGATGATGGTGCCATTGCTCAGTGTCGCCAGTGCTGCCGCCAACACCCTGGTGTATCCATCACCTGCTAGCTCGGTAGGAGGTGGGACATCCTGGTCCAGGAAGGAATTACCCTCAACTCCCTCAAAGATGACATATGTGGCCCCCAGGGCCTGCCGCAGGCGCCGGGCACGTGACAGGTACCAGGCCAGCGCTGCCTCGCTGGTGACGTTCAGGCGGGCACAGAGCTGCCCCTTCCAGGTGGTCAGCAGTGGGATCTGCAGATAAGGATGGAAGTCCCTGTTAGATCCATAAAATATCCTGCTAATTCCAGGGTATGAGGCTGGGGAGTGACACTCTGCCCCCGCACAGCGGTGCAGCGCATGAAGGTGTAAACCCTCCCTCAAACCCCCCCACCAAAAACCCCTGAGTGGGTGGCAAAGTGGATGATCATTAAACCGAGCAGATAAAAAAAGAAAAAAAAAAAGAAAAAAAAAAAAAGGAGTTGAGGGATTTCCTGAACACTGGCAACTTTTTAAAATATCTTCTGGAAGTGGGGATTTCCAAGTTGCTTCCCTGGGAGCCAGGAGAGAAGTTGCTCCCTGCGCATTGGGCTGTTCCCCCCGAAAAATAATAAACCCGTGGGGGTTTATCCAGCGCCAATTTTGGGTTTAGGGTTGAGTGGGGTCCCGTACCAAGCTGCCCCCAGGTCGGGGCTGGCGGCTCAGCCAATATCCCGCGGCCTCCGCCTGATGCAGGGATTGCAGGAAGAGCGGGGAGGTGATGCTGGCGTAGGGGGACAGAGTGATGGAGAGCTGCAGAGGTTCCACCAGGGCCAGGTCCTGCCTCTTCCTGCGCTCCGAGGGCACACTCTCCTGTGGGAGGGAAAGGCAGGAAAGAAAGGGGGTTAGATCGGAGCGGCAGTGCCGAGCTCTCCGTGAGCGCCGAGGGCGGGGGTACGGCCGTACCGCTGCGGCGAGGATGGCGGTGCTGCGCTCGCCCAGGGCCACGACTCCCTCCTGAAGGCCATGCCGCTTCAACCTCCTCACCAGCGACCTCAGACCTCGCTTGATTTTGGAAGCGGAACCCTCCGGGCCGTGGTACCGCCACAGCGGAGACCTGCGGGGTGGGAAAAACCGGGAGCGGGGGGAGGGGGTGTCACGGTTTGGGCCGGAACGAGATGCTCCGGGCAGCGACTGGGACCCTTGGGGGGTCCCCATCCCCGGGAGGAGGGAACACCCACCCCAGGAGCGCCGCGTCCGGCCGTGTCCGTGCCGGCCCCGCCGGGGAGTTGCCCATGTGCCGGTGTGCGGCTGCCACGTCGGTGCTGATGCAGAGGAGGTACCGCAGGGGCTCCGCCCGGCCCGCCGGTGTCTCCAGGCAGAAGTGCCGGTGGCTCTCCAGCGACAGGAGCAGGGGCACGTCGGGTGCCACGGTCACCGTCACTCCTTGGGGGGAGGAAAGGGGGAAACGGTGTCTCGGCTGCTGCCAGTCCTGGCGCTTGAGCGCTGCCAGGACCTCCCCGATTGATCCCACCTCAGATCCAGCCGTGCCGACCGTCCCCATCCTGTTCCTGCTATTCCCTTGTGGCCTCCAAAATGCCTCTCAAGGGCTAGATTTGTCCCCTTCCTGCCTTTTTGCTCAGCATGCAGTGGTTCAGGGCAGCTGCAGGTCATTGGATAAATTTGGGGTAATACCTGAGGTTTGGTGTTCTGCAGAGTAATCCCGATATCCACCCAAAAATGACAACAGGCAGCTGAACTCCTCCCTGAATCCAGCATCCCACAGCAGCATCAGGGAGCTGTGAAACTGCTCGAGCAGAGCCAGAGGAAGCAGCAATGGGCACAGTCTTAGGAAAAATATCCCAGAGACATGAAGAGTACGGGATGTCCCTGGGGCAACTTGGACCACACCATCCTCAGGCACTCAGGTTCAATATCACAGTCTTTCCCTTTCACAGGGATGAGGTGTGTGGGATCCATCCCCTGTGTCCTGCTGCCAATTGTCATTACTTTTGTAGGATCTAATTCTTGAGGCATCTGTGCTGCTCTTAAACCGGCTGCTTTAGAGGCGAGGAGGGGGATGGGGAAGCACAGGGATTGAAGGCAAAGGAGAGCAGGCAGGAAGAATGTGATTACCTGTCGAGCCCAGGAAGTACCTGTCCAGGACAGGCCCAAAGCCGTCGGGATTCGTGCCGAGGTCTCCGCTGACAAAGGGCTGCGCGGGGCTCTCGGCGCCGTTGAGGGGCCAGCGCTGGGCACGGATGCTTGGCCCACCATACCAGGAGACATTGGCCATGGAAAAGCAATCCTGCAACCAGGAGAGCATCGTTAAAGAGCAAGGAATGCTCAGGGTGAGGAGAAAGGTCAGGTTGGATGGGGCTGGGAGCAAACTGTGCTAGTGGACGGTGTCCCTGCCTATGGCAGGGGGGTTGGAGCAGGGTGAGCTTTAAATTCACTTTCAGAAGCCCAGCTGGGAAATCTGTTTGGGTTTCTTGGTTTGTTTGGTAGTTTTTTTCTTTCTTTGGTGCTTTCTCTTTGTTTGCTTTACTTTTCAGTTTGTTTTACTTTTAAAGACATCAACCTTTCTATCTGCTTTTCCCAGAGTTTCTGGTGTGAATTTACAACTGCAACTGTCCTCACCTGAGGGAGGTTTTATCTCTCACCTCAATGGCACCACAGCATCCCTAGAGGGACAGGTGCTCTCTCCCAAGACACAGCTTCCCAAGGGCTGATAACAAGAATTTCCCCTCAGTTTGGGGATTTGGGACACTTCTCATAGGGCTGACAGGACCCTGTGCCCGGGGACATCCCCATCCTTGACCCGCCTCCTGCCAGAAACCATCAATTTTCACTTCAAAGCCTATAAAACCTTCTCCTTTCTGCCAAGCCAAGGGATCAGCAGGACTTAAGAGTCCGCGTGACTTCCCAGGCAGGACGGGTTTCCCTGAAATTCCGAGGATTTGGGGCCGTGGAGGGAGGCTGAGGCAGGCAGAGGAGACCTGAAGAACCCCAACTCAGCCCCTCCCAGGTTTATTCCCAATCCCAAGGCTTCGGAGCCTCCTGGGGCCCTGAGCTCGGGGCGCAGAGAGGTTAAGTCTCTCCAAGGGGTGGGGAGAGGAGATGTAAATTATTAAAATGGAAACCCTGGAGGCTCAGAATAGCTGTACCAGGTGTCAGCTGAACTCGTTACACCAGCTGGAAAAGAGGGGAAAACAGCCTGTTCTTAACTCAGATTCCACTGGATCATATTTTCCACTGGTTTGGGTTTTTTTAAAAAAGTGGGGAAAAGCCTCTCCTGTCCTGCTCATCCTCTCAAACACCCCGCACCGATGCCAGCAAAGGAGACCCAGCCCCGTACGCAGGGCCTGTGCTCAGGCAGCACCTTCCACCCACCCAAAATGGGGCCAACAGGTGATTTATGGCTAAAGGGGAACAATCCTCCATCCCACAGGACCCCATCCTGCTCCTCTCCCTGTTCTGGGGGCTCCCCATGACTGGACACCTCCCTCTGACAGGGTTTCTCCTTCCCCTCCTAACGCTCCTTTTCAGAGCCTGCTTTTATTTAACCGAGGGACCAAAAGGGGAATGATACCAAAAATAAAGCCCCCGTGAGTGTTTGCAGAAGCGGACGTGGGTTATTCCCATCCCGTGGGAGCTGCCCATTGTGTCTGTGCTGGAATGGACCTTCCCGAGGTTCTCGCCAGCATTGTCTCCAGCGATTATTTACTCTGTCTCCATATAAACACAGTTCTCCCACCCCGGGGTCACCAGCACAGCACCACCAGAGCCCCCCTGGGGTTTTGGGGGGCTCGGCATCAGGTCGCGATGCTTCTAAAAGGCTTTTCCCACCCCGTTGCTGGAGGCTGCGGGAGATGGGAAGCTCCACGGGAGCTGGGGAGTTGTGCCAGGCCAGACCCTCCCCGCTTTGGCTCGTTGGGCCCCAAATGATGCCGGGCTGGGCACGAGGGTCCCCGTTACCTTCAGCGTCACGTCGGGGCGCAGGGGGGTCCAGTGGACGCCATAGCACTCGGTGCCGGGGGCTGCTGGGGGCTCCAGGGAGAGCCGGAGCTCGGCGTCCTCCTCCCAGGAGTAGCAGAACTGGCGTCCGTCGTGCCAGCAGTGGTCCCGGGGCGGTGGGGGCTCGGCGGCCGGCACACCGCCCACCGCGATCGCCGCCACCGCCCGCCCCGCCGGCAGCGCCCGCAGCACCAGGGCCCCGCGCCGGCGCTCCCACAGCATCCCACCGTCCCGGCCACGCAGCACCCACTCCTCTGGGGACTGCTCCAGAGCCTGCCAGGAGATGATGCCGATGGTCATGGCGAAGAAGATGGCCACGCCGAGGCAGCCGACGGCGCCTTTCCAGGGCTCCGTCATCTCCCTGAAGCTCAAGGTCCAGTTGGACTCTGGGAGTTGGCCGGTGTGGCGGGAGAGGGGCATGGTGATGCTCCGCTTCTCACCCCTCCTGCAGCAGCACAAGAAAGAAAAGCCTCTGGGGTTGCTCCAAAAGATTCTCTGGGACCGCTCCAAAAGCATGTATGAAAAGTTAATTCAATAGGAAAAGCAGTTTAAAAGAAGGAAAGCTGCATTCTCTGCACTGATCTGAAGGTAAGAGGAGTCCGTTCCACAGCCTCCTCCACGGCAAATCCCACTGCTGGACTCAGTGACGGTGGCTCAGCCCCCAAACCCTGTCCTGGAGCCAGCTCAGCCCCTTGGCATGGCTGACAGCACCCACACAGTGACACTGAGGAGGAGGACACGCGTGGCCCAGAGCCCGGGAGGGAGATGGGGCCATGGCCGATGGGAAGCAGGGCTGTTCTCCGACCTCTGCTGGTCCCTGGGGTTTGGCATCAAGTCACTGCTCCGTTTGGAAGCAGCAGTAAATAGCGAGGGGTGCAGGAAAATACCACAGGATGGTTAGAGAAAGGAGTGGGGAGGGGGGGGAATGCAACATCCTCTTTCCATCTCCTTTCTCTCTTCGCTGGAAAAGTATTTGGATACTGCACAGAGCAAAAAACACCCACGGGCAAGGTCCGTGCGCTGGGTGAGCCCGAGGGAACGGGCACCTGGTGCTCCCCCAGGTCACCTGTGGTGACAGTCTCATGGGGTGGCACTGGTTGTTCGTGCACCTCAGGGTGCCCCTCCCTCCCGCTGCCCGATGGCAGGTTGGGAATGGTGCCATCTCCCCTGGCACAGCACACCCCCCGCCCCAACGCCCCCCCACCCTGTCCCCACCTTTCTTTACCTAAAGGCAGGTTCAGGGGTGCTGTTGCCCCCCCTAAAGTCTCCTCGATGTTTTTCCCGCTGCTTTTCCCGCTGGCAGCAGGTTTTCCTCCTGTTCCCCGGGGCAGTTTTCCCTCCTGGCTGCGTCCTGTCCGAGAGCTGTCGAGCCGAGGCAACTTGATCCAGCCTAACCCAGGAGCGTTACTTAAGACCAGCTCCCTCCCTCCCACCAGCTCCCCTGCAGCTTGCACATAGCCACAGGTGGCTGCATCAGAGACAGGGGCAGGAAATTAAAAATAATAAGTTTTAAAAGCTTTTCTTTATGAGGGAATAATTTTAAAGGGATTTTTTTGGCCAAGTTTTTGAGGTGGCTCTGGTTGAGCCTTTACCACGCACCTGTGAATCCATCTGTGGGAAGCCCTGGCAGCACTGGGAACTGCTTGTTCTGTTGCTTTGGATTTTGTGGTTGTTACTGTTATATTTTCGGGGATTTTATCCCTGTTTTTTTACCTCACATGAGCCACTGGACTCCTCTCAGATCATCTCCAAGGCTGCCAAAATGGGAGCTGCAGGTAAGGGTGCTGCCTGCATCCGAAAGCAGAGGGAAGCAACTTCCCAGGACATCTGCAATCCCCTCCAGTGCAAAAAACTGGAAGTCTGGGATTTCCATCCATTTTCCATACCCCAGTCCCCACTTACACTTATCCCACCCTGACTACAGGTGAGCAGGGAAGACCTGGATTTTCCAAGCAATATTACAACCTGTTGGCTGCCAAGATATAAAAAACTTTGGGATTTAAAAGCATTTCCCCATCGTGCATCCAGGCCAAACCCCGACAATCCCAATCCCTGAATCCCAAGTCCAAAGCTCTGCTCACCTCTGATGGTGTTCTTTGGGAGAATCCCGGGACAGCCAAATCTACCAGGAAAATTCTCATCCACGGCTCAAGTAATGCCCTGGAGGGGCCTTTCCCCATCAGGATCAATTTTTCATTCCAGCTGGGGAATTATCCAGTATGGGATGGAGGGAAAATGGGTGGATCCTACTGGGACAAGCATCTCCCAGGGCGTCCAGAGCGGGAGAGAAGGATGGGTCCAGTATAAGGAGAAAGGAAGAGGCAGGCTGCCCCAAAAATTTGGGTGTGAGCTGTGAGACAGTGATGTCCATCCCAAAGGAGCTGGGAATCCCCTGGGAACATGGATCAGGAAAGGTTATAGCAAAGCTGTAGGAGATAGAGCAGGGCTGGGTGTGAAGCACTAAATGGGGAGGTCACAGATCCCGTGGGACCCTAAAACTGGTTAAAATAAAGGGAAAAACATTCAAAAAGAAGGAAGAAAGGATGTTCCTTCCACCAGGGAAATTACAGGTACTCAGGGTGCTCAACACACCCCACAACCTGGAAAAAGGGAACAAGTAGAAGTGAATAAACCCTATGGTCATTCAGAGCTGTTCACCCACAGCATCAGCCAGAGCTGATGGAATTACCGGTGTGGCATTTGCCAGTATTTTCTGAGGTTTTATGGATCCATATGCCCCAGGCAGGGATTGGTTTGGCTGCAAAACCTGGAGAAACGGGGTAGGGGAGAGTTAAAAAAAAAAGATCTTTGGGATGATCCAGAGTCCTGGTGCGCTGGAAAACATTAATCCTCTGTCCAGGGGAAAGAAGGGGATGTAGCAGCAGCGCCCCAAAGCTGCACAGGGATCTGCAATTCCCTGTTTCCCACCCCAAAACAGGCTGGGGGGGAGGGGGGGCGACTAATGGTGGTGTTTGGCTGCAGCAGCTCAAGGCAAAGCTCTGTCACATGGCCCATGATTAAATCACATCCATGGGATGGCAGAGGGGCCCCCAAGGTGGGATTAGAGAAAGCCCAGGATGGCATGGCTGGTGGTGCAGATGCAGTGGGATAAGGGAGGGGGGTGGAGGGGCCAAACCCAGGTGGGATCTCAGGAAACAGGGGGATTTCTTAAAAAGCTTTTCTTAAAAAGCATCTCAAATCCCAGGGAAAAAATCCTGCTGGAGGTTTCAACAAAGTATCTGGCCAAGTTTGGGCACCCCCCAGCACTGCACACGGGCAGGGTTTTGGGCTGAGCCCTCTTCCCTCCCAGAACTCCTGTGTTTTGGAAGGAGGAGCAGTTTTAGGAGTTTTCCTGCCCGTCACAAATCGCAGCACGAGGTGGCTCCCTCGAGCAGCAGGGAGCCTCCCTTCGTCTTCCTCACACCGCCAAGGAAAACCACTTTGCCTTGACCTGTTACAGGAAAAAAACCCTCATTTTGGGGTGGCTCCCTGGATTCCAGGAAAGTGTCCTGCCCCCCTGCTTCCAGTAGCTGGGGGTTTGTTACACATTCTTAGGTCTCCTCCTCTGCAAAGTGGAGCATCTTTCCCCCTTCCTGACTTTGCAGGGCTGAGAGGACCTTAAGGTTCCCTTTTCCCTTTTAATGTCTGGCTTTCCAAGCTCCAAGGATGCTGAGGGGCTCTGGGCAACCTGGGTAGTGGAAGGAGTTCCTGCCCGTGGCAGGGGGTTGGAACTGGAGGGGCTTTAAGATCCATTCCAAACCAAACCATTCCAGGATTCTGGGATTTGCCAGCCCTCGAGGCTCCCTAGACTGTTCGGGATGTGGCACCTGTGGCTGTTGGTCCCCAGGGAAGGATGGAGTGGGAGGCTTGGAAACACATTTAACCCACGAGCACCAATAAGCAGAGTTTGGGAATCCAAACTGTTTGATGAAACACCCAGAAGAGAGGCACTGAGGGTTATTCCCACTGGGATTTAGGATCAGTGACCCCTAAGAGGGGCTTCCTTCAGTGTGTACCCTGTGGATCACACACCACATCCTTAAAGAATCCTCCAGGAAAAAGGGAAAGCATGGAGAGCCACAGGGATTTTCCATGTGTGTGAGGCTGCACTTGGGAAGGACCAGCCCTTTCCATCAATATTTTCCTACGGCCTTGAAGCACCAGCAATTACAGTCACAGCCTCCCAGCAGCACGGCCAGACCCTCCAGGGGAGGCTGGCTTGGGGTTTCTTAAATATTAATGTTTAAAAAAAAATAAATAAAGGAAAGCTGTGTGGGTTGGCCAAGAGCAAAGGAAAACTGGTGGGAGCAGCAAAGCCCTCCAGGATTTGGCGTCTCTCCTTGATTTTCCCCTGTCTGGAGGAGCCTCACCCCAAACTCTCCCTGGGGGGATGGATCTTACGGCACCAAAAACCCACTACCCCAAACCCTCCCTTTTTGTCCATTTTTCCATGATATCCACGAGCTGGGAGACACAGTGGTGAGACAGGGTCAATTACCTGAAGCTATAAGCATGGATGTACAGGGATATACTATGCTCCTGCTCGCAAGGTTTATCCAACGGGAGAAGATGCCTTCGGAATCCATCCTGGGAATGAACCAGCCGATGTGCTGTGATGAGTGTTCTCCGTTGGTTTTCCTTCCTGTTGCAGTTCCCAGCTTTCCCTTTCAGGGCCAGCAAAAGCCTTTGGCTGTGCTGGAATTCTCCATGCCTTAGGAAGCCCTGCACTCCTTATTCCAGCTGGGATATTTATCACTTTAAAAAAAAAAAAAAAAAAGAAGCAGAAAGGGTGATACGGCTCCTAAACGCCCAAATCTCAGCCCAGATTTCCCCCCGGAAAACAATCCCAGATTTCCATGAACTCCCACAGCTATTTATAAAGCGATAAATGAGCAGCAGGACTGGGAATGACAATAGGGCTTTACGAACAGGAACACCCTTGGAAGTGACTACAGGACTATTGTCCCTTCCCATCCCTATCATGTCTCCCAAAACAGCAAACAGCAGCGCCAGGTACAGGGGGCTCTTTGTGTCCATCCACAGCCCATCTGTGCTTTCAGGGAAAGTCCCAGATGGAGCAGCAGATTTTGGGGAGAGGGTGGGCTGGGGGACAGCCTGGAGCACCCACAGTGGCCCATGGATGGGTAATTTTCTAGCTGGAAAGTCACGATCTCCAGCTGCCAACTCTGGTTGGTGCTGATGGGATAGGAACAACCCTCCTGTATCCCTTGTCCCCTCTCCCTCCAGGCAAAGCTGGATATTTTGGGGATACCCAAGGTGGTAAGAAGGAGGCAGGGACCAAACCCATGTTTCTTATGCACCATAGTCCCTAAAATTACTACAGTGGGGAGAGAGGAGCCCGCTGTGCCGAGGAAAACCCCTCCATGGGGCACTCATCCCCCTTGAGCTCCCAGACCCAGCCCAGGCACCTTAAATCCAGGGATTACTGCAGCATCCAGACACCCTCAGTGTTCCTGCTCTGAGCTCAGATCCCTCAGAGTGGGGTGGAGGTGCTGATTTGGGGTGTCCAAAGCCAGCACCTTCTTGGGAGGGGCCCTTGGCAGCTCCGCTCTGCCCAGAGCCCCAGGAATGGGGCTGGGGCAAGGCCAGATCCATGTGCCGCTCCCCTGGGAAAAACCTTCAAAAAGCCCAAATCATCTATTTTTTTCTTAAAACAAGGCACAACTGCTGATAAAAGCCGTGGCTGCCAAGAGAGAGCAGCTGCACCCCACAACCTCTATCCATGATTTTGGTCTCCCAAAATCCCTTGGTTTTCCAGCAAACCCTTTGGCAGAGGGGCTAAGGGGGGGGATAATGGGGAGGCTTGACGTGCCAAGGGAGCTGCTGGAGGTGACCACAGGCGAGGGAGCTCTTGGAAAGGACCCTCCTGCTTCATCTGCCTCTCCCAAGCTTCCCAGAAATCTGCCGAGCAGATTCGCAGCCCACGTGCTGCCAAAACCAATCGCGGCCCTGGAGATGCCGTTTGGATGATGAGATCAAAATCCTTCCCGTGGAGCTGAGCCACCACAGGCTGGAAAGGTGCAGGACAACCTCCCTGACACCCACGTGTCCCCAGAGGAATGACACTTCCCAGCCACACACAGGAACACCCCCCCCCCCCCAGGGGCTCACCGCGGGTTACTCCGGCTCCATCCACCCCTCTTCCCTGGGGGGGTCATTAGCAGCCCTGAAGCCTGGTGCTCCCTAAGGACAGTTGTGGTTCTTTTGGGAGAGCTCCAAGGCACACCAGACCCCCAGCCCTCGCTCCTGGCTTCCATCCCAGCAATGCCCTTGGATGTAGTTTTAGTGGCACGTCCTGGCTCGGCAGGGAGGGGGCTGCAGGTCACGCAGCTGCAAGGGAGCTCTGGGCTCCTCCAGGGAACTGGCTTGGACTCACCTCTGCAGGCTCTGCTCTGGGGAAGGACAGACCTTCCTCTTCCTCCTCTTCTTGGTCTTTTTTTCTTCCTCTGCTTTGTTTTCTTCTTACTTCCCTTCTTTTTCTTCTTCCTCCTCCTCTTCTCCTTCCTCGCCCAACTGCTGCACATCCCACACCCCAGCGATTTAGGATTTATGGGGTTACCCCAGTGCTGCCCCCAGGACCCACACATAGGGAACCCCCAAACTTCTCCCCACCCCTCATGAATGCTGCATCTTCAAGATTTTATACCTGGGAGGGGAATCTCCCCCGGAGAGCCAAGGAGGGGCTTCCAGTAATTAGCAATTCCCAGCCCTCACGAGCTCCCGCGGCCTCTCCCAGAGCAGAGCCCGGGAATAATGAGGTTTTGTGCTAATTATAGTGAGCAGGCAGGGCCAGGAGTCCTGGTGAGGGGCTGCAGCAGCCACCACAGGGAGCTTTTGGCTGGAGACCTTTCTGGATTCCCTGGGATACAAAACACACCCGGGTTAATTCAGGACAGCAATCACAGCCGTGCCCGGCGCTCCTCCATTCCCAGGAATGCTGGGGATGCTGTTCCAGCACTGGCCCTGCTTTCTGCTCACGAGCTGGTCCTTTTTCATCCATCACCTGGAATAATATTGCAGGATTCTGCCGTGCCTGGCATTGCACTGACCTGGAGATCGAGCCAGCAAGGGAAATCCAGCTCTTTGGACAAACCCCGGGGATATTTGGGAACTGAGCAACGTGGATGAGGCACGCAAAGCCTGTGCAATGACAGACTTGAGCGTGTGTCCAACATCCCAACGGGGTTTAATCCCTCTTAAATTCTTTTCTCCCTCTCCTAGCAGCAGACTCAGCATTTCCCAAATCCAGGTCCTCTCCAGCCACGGCAGCAACACCCACCCCAGCTGCTGGATCACAAACCTCAGCCCAGCTCCCACCATTCAGCTCCCCTGAGAATGCTATAAACCCCCTAAAATTAAACAAAAAAACCCAAACCTTGTCCAGCTCTTTCCCCTACACAGAGCCCTGATTGAACTTTAATTCTCTAGATTAAATATAGATCAATAAAAATTGGGATTTTAATGAAGGTGCTGGGAAGGAAAAGCCCCAAATTACTGTCCTGGCCTGGCCCCCCTGATGGGGCTTCTTTTCCCCCCAAAGTGTATAGACAAAGGTGGGATTCAATGAAACCCTTGGACAGACACAAGCAGTGCCAGGAAACGCTTTTGGAAGCTGCAGGCTGTCCAAGTGGGTTCCATAGCAGGATGTGGGATAAGTGGTTTCCCAGGCTGTGATGCTCCGGGGAAGCTCTCCCAGGCAGACATCCAGTTATTCCCAGCCCTAGAAATGGAGGGACCCAGGACAGTGCGTGGTGCTGGGGCAGGGGTAGAGGGTAAGGGAGATGCCCAGCCCTAATTTAAGGTGGTCCCACAACATGCACCCTTTTGCTTCTGCTCCCTTAGAGGAACCCAGCACCCTAAAAATAACCCACGGGAGCACCACAGGCACTTGGGAACTCAGCTTTTATTGTCACAGGATACAGCAACAGATGATGAGGTCAGTCACAACGGGGGGGGGACAAGGGGAGGGTCACACCACAAGGTCCCAGCACAGCCACCCTGAACAGCCACAGAGCCCCCAGCACCGGGAGGGAGGAAGGGAGGGAGGGAAAGGTGAGCTGTGACCTGGCTCCTTCCCATATGTTTCCTGCCCCATCCCTGTGCAAACAGAAAAAATTCTCAGCCCATGGTGATTCTCCCTTTGGGAATGGGGAAATTAATGAACAGGCATAGAGGCCCCTGCAAGCAGCAGCATTTGTACCTCCTGGAATCAGCTCCGTTGTGTCCTTGCAGCTGAGCGGCAGAGCATCAAGGGGAGAAGCTGCCCCTGGGAATGCTGTTCTTCTGGGATGGAGAAAGGGGATCTGAGCCTATGGGCTCAGTGTGCCTCCGAAATCTGGGCAGTTCGATTTGCCTGCCTTAGGGATGGGCTGCCCCAGCCAGGTGGAGATGTCAGACATGAAACCTTGGAAAGCAGGGAGCAGGTGGTGGATTCAGCAGGGATGGAGCATCTGCTGCCCTTCTTCCAGGGTTTATTTACAGTCTCACTAGAGGAGAGCGAGCCAAGGGGCCTGAAATGTTAAAAAATGGCTTTTTGGAAAAGCCAGGGATTAACAGGCTTTTCGCCCTGCTGTAAACAGATCCCTGTTTGCTGTAACGTGCCCTGGGTTCCAGCCGTGTGCAGCTGGTTGGGACAGGGGCTCCTGCAGCCCCTCCACAGCCGCTTCAGTTCACAGATCCAGGGGAAAACTGGGATGGAAGTTCAGCCCTGGGCTCTGACAGGGGCTGGAGATGGGCAAACCAGCTGGCCTGGTTCTTTGGGGGGACAGCAGCGGAGGCAGAGAGGGACACAGCCCCCTGTCACCCTCTTCCACACGGTGAGGGTCTGGGGGCACTTAGGGGATGGTGTGGGCAGAGATCACCCCCGGAGCAGCTGGATGGGCTGGAAGGGTTTGAGAATCCAGGGGGGTTTACTCACCAGCCACAGCGGGCAGCAGAGGCAGCAGGGTCCATCCCCAGGGCAGGGACAGCCGGTGGCATTCCAGGAGCCAGCGCAGCCGTCAGGGCCGCCCATTGTGGGAGCTGGATTTGGGGCACAGCCAGACACATCCAGCTTAGGGGAGTAAGGAAAGCCCCCCTGGACATGCATGTGCTGGCTCTGAGCCCTGCCAAAACACAGCTGAGCCCCCAGAGGTTGGCCCAACGTCCCTGAAGTCACCATGGGCCAAGATGCTGCTGATTGCAGCCATGCAGGAGGAGGAAAAGGGAACAAAGGGGTCAGGGGGATGGAGAACATCTTCCCTGCTGGCACAAAGGCTGTTTGTAAGAACCTACAGGCTCTTGTATCCCAATCCCACCCTCCCCACTCTCCACCTTCCCCTTTGGGGAGCTGGCACAGCCCCACCAGCCGCCCCCAGCCCCAGGACTGGAGCAGCAGGACGAGCCGTTCCGCCGTCCTGGAGCCAGGACACTCACTCAGGGATGTAGTCCCTGAAGGAGTTAAAGCTGAGGCTCCGGCCCACAGAGTTCAGGGTGGAGCTGGCCTGCATCTTGGGAATCTTCTCCATCAGCTTGGACACTGTCCTCCTCTTGAAGGAGCCCGGGGAGAAGTGCCCCTGCCTCAGCAGCTCCTGGTAGAGGCTGCTGAACACGGCCACCGGCTCCTCGTAGCTGTCCCGCGTGGAGATCTCGTAGAAAGGAAGCTTCAGGGCTTTAGAGAGGTTCTCACCATCCTCTGTGGAGACCATCCTGTCGAACTGCAGGTCCTTCTTGTTGGCCACGATGACAACGGGGGGCTGCTCGGCGCCGCCGCTGCGCTTGGGGCTGGAGTGGAGGTGGTTGATGAGGAAGCAGAGCCGCATCACCTCGTCGAAGCTGCACCGGTCGGTCACTGAGTACACCACGGCAAAGCCATCGCCCCACTTGATCTTCTCCTCGATCTGCAGTGAGTCCTCCTCCTGCCAGGGCAGACAGGCTCCCATTAACGCTTCTGGAATTCCAGCACTGCCGGCTGCAACCCGGAAAACCTCCCAGGGGCCTGGCACAGTCTCCAGGAAGGTTCTGGCTGTGGGTTTGCAGAGAGCAGTGACCTGCTGGGACATGGTGGTTTGGGTGGCGTGGCAAATGGGGACAGCCATCAGCCCTGTCCTTGCATGGGTAAGGGGGGAACCACTGCTCCTGTGAGCCAGCAGGATGCTCCACCAGCAGGGCTGTGCCATGCACCAGTAATGGGAATGTGGAAACATTTACCTGCAGCCACACTGTATCTGACATTAGAGAGACATCAATTCACCAAAACATCCTTTTTCTGAGACAAACACCACGAGGGATATTCCAGACACCGCAGATTAAGGCCAATGGGAGAGCAGGGATAGCCTTCAGTGGCAGGCTGCTCTGCTCCAGTGGTGTTTTCCCGGGCTCTGAACAGCCTGAGCTCACCTGTCCTGCCGTGTCGAGGATCTCAAAGTGCACCATCTCCCCGTCAATGACAGCCACGTGCCTGTAGATCATTTCTGGGGGGGCACAGACAGCAAAGGCGTGTGAGAGAACCCCTGGGGAGCAGCCACAGCCCGGGTGGCTTCAATGAAGCCGTGCTGGAGAGGTGGATTTTCACCTACTGCATCCCACAGCCCCGTGGCCTCTGTTGCAAGGCCACCTCTTGAACCAGCCCATCTCCCCATGCCCAGGAAGGGCAGCCCTGTGCTGTGGCATCAGGCCCAGCATCTCCCATGGCACCAGAGACCCCAGGACATCTGGGGCAGCAGTGACCAAAGCGTGAGAGCAACATGGGGTCATGGAGCAGCAGAGGGAAAACAGATAATAATAACAACAATAGAAAGGGAAAAAGGGATCCAGGAACCAGGGAGAGGCCAGGATGGCTGGAGGCTTTGCCCACTGTCGGTCTGGACAAGGAGGAACAGGAGGGAATGTGGTTACTTTGGGAGAGTCAGCTCTGTGACAGCACCGAGGAAAAAGAGTTTCCCTACCCAGAGTTGGATCGTAGTCTCCAATGAATCTCCTGGTGATGAATCGTACAGTCAACGCTGGAAAAAAAGCACAACAAACCCTGTTATGGTTGTCAGATCAAACTGCAGGGAAATATCAGCTGCCTGAGGCAGGAGGGATGGAGGATAGATCTGTGGGAAGGGTGAAGCAGGGATGTGCAGGAGAGACAGAGCAAGAACCTGTGGGAGGGGTCCCATGAATTTCAGCCCAGTCTGTTTAACCTGACCCAGACACAGCGTGTGGAGAAGGGAAGGCTGCTGGCACCAAATTTCATGGAATTTACCAAAAGGCCAAAGTGGGAGGAACACAGGGCACAGCAAACCAGGATCTCCTCCCTAAGCCAGCCATGCCTTGCAAGAAAGCAGTGCTGGAAGTGCCACCAGGAGCTGGGAGAGCAGCTGAGCCGGTGCCCGGAGAATCAGCCCATTCTGGGTCCTCACATCCCCTCCCTGCTATGCCTGAGCCTGGGAATTCACACCCCTAGGATGCTGGGCACAACTGGGGACCAGTTTCATCCTTGCAAGGCCCCCAGCAGCCCAGCCCCTTCTGATGCTGCCACAGCACCAACACAGGGATCTGCTCCTTTGGAACAATTTTTCCTCCTTGCAAGGGCAAGGAGCAGCAGGAGCAGCCAGAGTTCGGGCAATTAAACTCCCTCATCCAATTATAGGTTTCCCTGTGCCAGAGCCAAGCCAGGCAATTCCCAAATTGCTGGCAGGGTGAGGGCTGCCTGGTGCTGTAGCCTTGGCCAGCCACTCCATCAACACAGTAAGGGTTCTCTCCTTGCTGCCTCTCATCAATCCCAGCCAGCCGGGCTGAGGGATCCAGACCTTGGCTCCAGAGCAGGGCTGGGACGTGAGCAAGCTCACTGGCCACTGCAGAAAACCCCCCCACAGCCTCCTCAGGTTTTCCTGTGAGAGGCAGGAAAAGCTTTGCTGCGGTGCAAAGTCTCCAGACAGGAATTTCCAGCGGTGGGGAGAGTGGCACTGATGCCTGGGGGGGGTGTGGAAATTTGTGGTTGGGAAGCTGAAGAGAGTTCAGCAGCACGGGTGGAAGTGGTTCTTGAGCCCTTCAAGGTGTTAATGATGGTAATGGAGATGGGAGTGAAAGGCAGTGGAGAGCCTGAGAGCTGGCTTGTAAAGGCAACAGGAGTGGAGAGGGAAATTAGAGGAAAATGAGTGGGAGCAGGGGAAAAAAACCCAGCAAGAGCAAGGCGGGGATGCGGATCCAGGAGGGAGAGGATGGAGAAGCTGCACACCAGGTGCCAGTGCAGCAGGAGGAAGGGAACAGAGCAGGAGTGTGATGGGAGAATAAACCTCAGCAGAACCAGGATGTGACGAAAACCCCTCCAGAAACACAAAGGGGGGATGTAAATCCAAGACCAAGCCAGCGTGACACTCCAAACTCACCTTCCCTCTGCAACTCGGGGTCAGTTTGTCCCATCTGCCCATCAGCAGAAGTTCCCAGATTCCTGCCCTTACAGACCCACACCAGACCAGCCAAGATCTGTGTGTTTATCCTGGGAATGTGGCATCCCACCTAAGTCAGGCTTCCTGCTCCATCAGCCCCAACAGCTTCTCTTGCCTCTCACAACCTGCCTGGCTCCTGTTTGGGGGATTCACCATCCCCTCACCCCCCAGTCCACCTGAGGGTTTAAACCTGCCCAGCAGGGAAGGGATTTGATGGGAAAACAGGTAATTCAGCCAAACTGCTCAGAGGAGATAACCAGGGATCCCTGCAGGAGGCACCTATCGGCACCTTTACAGAGGCGATGGAATTATCAGGGAGAGGGGGACGAGCCAGGCTCAGTCTCTAGAAAGCACCTGATTGTGTGTCATATGTCAGGCAGCCACCCAAAGCTGGAGCACATGCTGTGGGATAAGAAGAGGAGCCAATTAGATTGATTAAAAATTGGCTGGAGCGCAGGAACAGGAGCGGAGCTGCCAGTGGGGGAAGCGGCCGCAGGCCGTGGCCACCCAGCCTTATAAGGAGGTTTCTTTCCCCATCCTGAACATCAGTAACCTCGGGAAGGGCTCTCTGAGGAGAGCCCCAGAGCTGAAGGGGTTAATTGTGTATAAAATATGGGCTCCAGGGACGGCTGTGGGCTCGAGGGGTGATTTACCTGCCACAGGGAGGACTGGGCACCTCGTGATTGCACTGAGCGCGTGCCCACGCACTGCCCTGCTTATGCTGCTGTGGAACGGGGTCCAGCACCGATCCATCTTCTGTCCACATGCTGCAGCAGAGCTCTGCTCTGGATTATGGCAAAGTTTACGCTGGGCAGCAGCAGCAGTGGATAACATAAGCTCTGGCCAGGCTGGATTTCCAGCTCCCGAGGGTGAGTCGCACGGCCCAGATCCTTAAAGTGCTGCACCCAAACCCCGTTCCTACTAGGAGGGTCCATGACCTCCGATCACCACACCCTGAAGGTTTTCAAACTCCTCCAAAACCCCCATAAACCCTTTCTGAGAATTAAGGAGATTTTTTCCCTTTTGCAGCTGCCCAGATGTGAATTGCCCTCTGGTTGTTCCCACCCCCCGGCTCTCCCAGCCTGGTTCTGGGTCCTGCAGGGCGGATCCAGCAGCTTGTCCTGGTGATGCTCCAGGGTGGGGCCCACTCACATCCTGCCAGGACAAGAGCTTAGCAGCTCACAGATGGATCCAGGTGATGTCCACCTTCATCCTCTACTGCTTCATCCCAAACAGGGAACCCCCACCACACAATGCACCCCCCTCTCCTGGCCAGGGAAGACTCACTCCTCACCTTAGGCACCAGCCCCCTGCCTGTTCTGCCCAGCCCCACAGGAGCTCCAGCAATGATGATGATGCTCCTGGCTCCTCCCTTACCTTTCCCACACTAAGGGCACAAGCTCTAAGTCCACCACCTGGGGTGTCACCTGCACTGCCAGGCGGGGACAGCATGGAGCAGTCTCCTTGTCCCCAGCACAAGGACAGGCAGAAGGACCCAGAAGCTCGGGCACAGCCCCCAGGGAAGGTGACAACCCTGCACCCAAGGGACACAGATAGGCACAGATGTTTGTCAGGGGGGCTGCCAGCCTGTGGGGGATCTCGTGCCTGCCATTCCTGGGGGCTGCTCCCTGTTCCTGGCACACTCCTCTGCACGAGCCACATATCAATTACCTCCCTGCACCCTGATTCCATGGCTTCTGTCACCGTCACACGGGCAAAAGCCCCACTGCTGGAGGACGTGAGTGTTGATGGCACCAACGGGAGCCACAGCTGAGCCCAACTGGAGAAACCCTTAAAGACCCTCAGCACAATTCCACCTAAGAAGGAGGCACGACAGCCCCTCAACTGCCTGCAGGAAGGGCCTGAAGCTCCCAGGAATCTGATCTGTGCCGGGTGGGATTGACACCAGCAGGGAGACACGTGTTCAGGCCAGGATGGGGGTGAACCAAAGGCTCTGTACGTGCTGTACAGCTCCATCTGCTCTGTCGAGGCCAAATACTGCCCTGATGTTCTGGGTACAGCAGAGCTGAGCCCCATCCCGTGCTTCCCTGCTGCTCATGGAGAGCTGGGAGCTGCCTCCTTTAATTCAATCAGGGAATTATGATTTTTTCACTAATGCCAGTTGCTGTACATGGAAAAGCAACTCCAGTAGCTGCAACAGCCACTGCTGCTGCGGCACCTGCACAGGTGACACCTTTTCCAAAGGGGCAGGACATTACCTTTCTCCAAGGAAATGGCAGCTTGGCTGTGTCCCACAGGTTCCCCCAGAGTCTGCACGGATCATGGATCATTGCAATAAACCAACGTGGATCCACATGGATACAAACCCTCCCCTGCCTTTGACCCCCTCCCGGCATTCTGGGTGCCCCAGACGCTCATAGCCCGGGAATGAGGAGTGGGAAGGGGGAAACGATGATCCCCAGGAAGGAACAAACAGGGTGAAGGAGGCAGCTGAGATTATCCTGGCAGAGCATCCCGAACCCCCACCCCGACGGGTGCAGACGGAGAGTGCCGAGTGAGGCACAGGCGAAGAGAGTTTTCCTGAAGGAAAACAGCCTGGCGCTGTGCAGGAGGCTCCGCGAGCCCGCTGCGGGCGCTGGGAATGAGCAGCGAACTCCCAACACCCAGGGAAATCCAAACCCGAGCCCAGCTTTTGGGAAAGCTCTCCCGGTCAGCGATGTGCCCCCCAGACCCCTGCGCAGCCGGGGACCCCTTGGGCACGGGAAACACCCCCGTGGGGCGAGCCCCGGCTGCAAAGTGTCCGCGCTGGGAACTCGAGGGGAGGGAAACTGGGTGCCCTTACACGCCGTGGGCTGGGGGACACCGGGGTGATGTTCCCCATCTCGGCTTTCTAAGGGACACGGGAGGGTCGGTCCCTCTGCCCGGGAAGAAGCCAGAGGGGAGATACCGGGGGTGCCAGAGGGGTACCGGGGAATGCTGGAGGCACGCGGGGGATGCCAGAGGGGTACCGGAGGGATGCGGGGGGATGCCAGAGAGGTGCTGGGGGGTTACCGAGAGATGCCAGGGAGATACCGAGAGGATGAGGGGGAAGCCCCGTCCTACCTGTCTTGCCCACGGCGCTCTGCCCCAGCACGACGAGGCGCAGGGTGCGGGCCGGGCTGAGGCTGACGGAGCGGCGCAGGGGCCGCGGGAAGCTCATCCCGGCGTCGGGCCGGGGCTGCCCCGGGTTCCGCCGTCGTTCCCGGCGCTGCTCCCCCCCGGCTCCGCCCCGGGGGACGGGCTGGGCTCAGCCCCGGGCGGGCGCGGCTGTTGCCGCCCTCCTACTCCTCGTTCTCCTCCTACCCCGTCCCGGAGGCTCTTTGGCAGTCGTACCTCAGCTTCCCCGCACGCAGCAGCCCCAGACGCTTCCCAGCCGGCCGAGAGAGCTGCTCACCCCAGCTTAGACGGGGCTTGGAGCGACCTGGGCCAGGGAAAGGTGTTCCTGTGCGCGGCAGGGGGTGGAACTGTGTGGGCTTCGAGGTCCCTTCCAACCCAAATGATCCTATGATTCCATGAGTTTGTAAAAGTGAGGAAAGAACAGAGAAGTGGTGCAACAACTCCCCAGCCAGGGAACCACAGCCAGGGTGCTGCCTGTCCCCAAATCCCTGCCTGAAATCATTATTTCCTCCACGTCTGTGCATAAGACAAATTAATAAAGATGAGAGAAGGTGGGTCAGCCTCAGCCTTTCTCGTAATCTCCCCTTCCCCTCAGCCACAAGCAGGCCAAGGAGTGAATCCTGGCTCCAACACAAACCACTGACTAAATCCCCATGGATATCAAAGAGCAAGGACTTCACACCAGGCCTGGAACCAAACTTTGTGTGTTTTGGTGCAGCAGCATCACCAGGCTGTTAACCATCAGTGCGAGGGTGTACCCAGGAACAAGGTGTACACATAACAAGTAAACAGCTCAGAGCAGTACTGGCGTGGGCAGGGATGTGTGTTGGCTGTCCTGAGAAAAAGGGAAAAGCCTGGCATCACCTCAGCTGTCTCCATCAGACCCCAGGATGCTGCTGGCCTGTGGGGTGCAGATCTCAGATGACACCAGTGCTGCAAATGCCAGTAGAAGGGACCTGGCCAAGAGTGTGGACCCCTCAAATGCCCACAGCAGGGACTCAGCCCCTTTTCCAAAGGCTGCAGCCATTTCTCCGGCACAGGGATCTCTGTCTGCCCATCTCGGGTGACTTGGCACTGGTGCTCGAGGGAACATGAACCCACCTGGTATTTATAGCCCATATCGGGTGTCCAGAGGGAACACAAAGGGAACGCTGCCGGTGCCTATGGAGATGTCAGCACTCACCCAGCCCCGGAGGGTTACCAGCAGCACAGCTGCCAGCAGGATTGGTGCTGGACAGGGGCCCTGGATAACACAGGGGCTGCTATGGGGAGCCTGTAGAGAGAGCAGACCTCACCCAAAAACCCACCTTGTCATTACATGCATCTCCCTGTGCATCAGCCACTGGCAAACAGCCCTGCTCCAGCTTCTCCAGAGACTCATGGCTACATCTGGGGCCCAGAAAACACAAGCAAGGCAATAAACCTTGGATTTCGGGACAAAAGCTGATTCCCAGCTGGGGAACGGCAGGGTGTCAAGAAAAAGAAGTCTCCGTTATGATCCTTCCCTATTTTTAGCCCCATTTCCTACGGAAATGAGATGTCTGCAATCAAGTCCTCTTCTTGCCTGATCCTCTGCAACACCACTTTTAATACATCGCCTGACTTCAGGCAAATGAGGGATAAGCCACAGAGAAAATCCTTTTCCTGCAAGTTGTGTGACCAAAAAAAAAGAAAAAAAAAATGGCCAAATTTCACAGAAAAGCAACCCTTGCACTTTTTGGAAGGCAGGAACTGGCCAGCAGGTCCCTGGCTGGGGGAATCCACAGTAACGATTCCTGCTGCTCCAAGGGATGCTGCCCTCGTGCAGGAAGCCAGGCAGTCACACCTCTACCTGCCTCAATTCCAAGTGCATTAACAGGGCATAGATTTGCAGGGATGAGGGAACAAACACACAAGAAGCACGGAGTTAAAATGGAAGCCACCTTGGGAAAATCACTTCACCTCCCTTTACACCACCCCCAGGACCAGGTTGAGTTGGATCCCCATGACCCTCCAATCAAATGCCAGCTGCTCCAGAAAAATATATCCCTGGATTCTTTAGGAAAAGGTCAGCGTGGGGAGGGGGGGTTGTGTCCCTGACAGCACATCTGGGGACTACCCAGAGAAACTCCTACTCCTCACGCACGGACCTCCTTGGCACAGTGGAAGCCACATGTGTGTTCCCACAGGAACACTCAGCGCCACGTCCCACGTTTGCCAGGGAATATTTGGCTGGGTGACAGTGGAAACAGGGCTTTATCATCTGCCATCGCTGAGTAAGCCACCTGTGGCAGAGCCAGGTGGGAGAGGTGCAGGGGATATTGTTTTCTGCTGAAATATTTGTGGTCGGACCATTCCACACTTGCTGTTTTTTTAAAGACATGGAATCTGCTCTGGGAAAGAGGCCAGGGGCTCCCATGAATCACGGTCCTGTGAACAAAAAATCAGCTGAAATGAGAAGTTGGCCTAAAGCAAAGAACCAAATCTCCTCAGGCTGCAGTCTCAGATCAGGGGGATCCTGTTCTGTACTCCAAACCACTTCCCTACTGGATCATCAGCTATTTGAAAGCTGCCAAAAAAATTGAATTTTATTGCTCCTGAAAGAGAGCAATAGTGTGTTTTTATTTAGGAAAGGGAAATAAAATAACAGCAGTCCCTTTTCTCTCCATTAGATGATCCAAAGGCACAGGATGTCAGCAAGTCCATGCAGGAGCCAACTCCAGTTCAGAAATGACCAAGGTATATCAAAGTATCTCACAAGGTTTAGCTCCTCTCCTGAGCCTCCATTTCGAGGGCTCAAACCTGTTTCCCGCTCATCCATCACATTTAATTGTCACTCACCAATGACTGCCCAGACATTCCCGTGTGCGGCTCGGCTGCCAGGAGAGTTAATGCCAGATGGAGCCATCACAGAATGCTCCCCAGGGATATAACCAAAGCCATGTTGCCCTGTCAATAAACATATTTTGGGCTGTTACAGCAAAACCAGCACCCCCAAGGGTCCTCCCAGCCTTCAGGCCCTCACTTTCCTCACGCCCTCCATGGACTTGCTCCGTTCCATCCAAACCCTGACCCCGCTGCAGCCATGAAACCACGTTCCTGTCCAGGACGAGGCACAGGAGCAGGGACACGGATCCCAGTTGCTTCTCCACGTGCTATAAATAGCAAGAGGGAAAACAGATGAAAGGCCCTGAGCCCCAGCACTGCCCAGGCGCTCCGGCTGCAGCTGGACTTCTCCGTGCGGGATTTGCATCAGCCCAGACCCGCTGGGGAAGCATTCCCTTTATTTTACTAATAAAAGGCTGGTTTTTAGGCCACAGGAGATGATAAAACCTCTAGCACAAGAAAAATCCAACCAGCACAGGTTCCTGGTGTCCCATTCTGTCTGTCACTGAAGCGGATTCCGAAGCGTGGCCGGATCACGCTGAGAAAATAAATCTGGCTCCACGTCAGAGTTCAAAGACGCCTTCACAAAGCTGTCAGGGGAAAAAAAAAAAAAAACACATGGAAGGGACACATTAACAGCATTTCCTCCCCGCCCCAGGGGCTGAACAACATGTCCCGAGAGCTTTCCAAGCTGCTTCGCCACTGGATAAACTCCAGCAGCTCACGGGGCTGGCAGAGCACGCGATCCACACATCCTAACGGGGCTGCTAAAATCCCTTTGCTGCCCTGTGGGTCCCCCAGAGAGTGCCCTGCACTTTGTTTTTCCACAGGAGCCAGCTGTTGGGAAGGAGGACGCTGCCACAGCCCACGCCTGCCACGCTCCATCAGGCTCCTCACCGCAGCAAGTTTCCCACCACAGGAATGGCTTTGCCTGGGAAGCTGGCTTTAGGACTCACAGCAATGTGCCGAGGGGAGGGAGAGGAAGCCCATCGTGGAGGTAATTTAAACCTCCAGAAACGCTGCAGGAAGTGACCCTGTGGGATGACCAGGAGGGGCTGTGTCCCCTTCAATCACAAGGATGATTTCATTGCCAGGATGTGGAACCCAAGTCCGAGCCCCTCGAAGGTACAACATCTGAAGCACTGGAGGGATTTGGAACAGGATCAGCCTTTGAAATGATGGAAACCTCGCTCTGAAGCAGCTGGACCTGAGGGGGAGGGAAAAACCTGCAGTCACAAAAGAATTCAGGTGCCACAGGCCACTCCTGAAAGGGCAGAGGAGGAAGTCAGGGCTGGGCTCAGTGATCCCTGCACAGCTTGCAGGGAATTAGGGATTCAAGCACCTCCCTTGGCTCCTCCAGAGAGGGGAGGGCAGGAGGGACTCTGGGAGGACACACACCCAGGATCCACGGAGCAGTAGGGCCAGGGATCCACTCAGCTGCACCCAGGCATTCCTGCCCAAAATGGGGGGATGCCAGAGCGACGTGGGCCAGAGCAGAGCAGCAATGGCACCTCCGGAGTAATTTCCGACAGCTATTCCCAAGCAAACCTTGCAGCTGGCAAGAAAACAACGCTTCCTTAGTATGGGAAATGTCAGAGCTGCACAGCCAGTTGTCCTGCTGCTGTGGAGCCCTGCCGGAATTCTTGGAAAGCACGAGAGGAGCAGCACAGGCAGTGGCTTTGTGGCCAGCGGGCAGGGATCAGCGCTGGAATTCGCTCAGATTCCCAGCAGATGCCCTCTGCTCCGGCTCTCCAGCCTCCTTCCAGGGGGGACAGACGCCACAGGGGTGGCCAGAGCCCAGGCCTGGTTCTTGTCTGACCCACGTGGATCTTACTCTGGGCAAAGTATCTCAAATTCCACCCGGATCCAACATGATGTTCCGTCCTAACAGATAAATTTCCACCATGAATCAGTACAAACCTGCTTTGGTGAGAAATTCCTCTTCTTAACCTATGTACGTGCTATTTAGCACCAGGAAAAGGGTCACAAAGATCATTCCCCAACACATGAAGCCACATGGAGACTTGTGACTTTTCCATGGAAAACCAGGGATCCCTGCTTCCACCTGGAATTGCAAAAAACTTTTTTTTTTTTTTTAAATTCTCCTGAAGCAAATGTTAAAATAATCCCCCTTTCCCTCAGTCTTACTGAGTAACTCCAATAAAAAATGAATACTTT